TTTTAAGCATTGAATCGCTTATAACTGAAATGGTGAGCTTTAGAGAAAAGTTAATGGAAGCCTTTTTTGTTCGGAATGATCCAAAAAATCTGAACAAAAATTGTCTGGGCAAAAAGATTGTAATTTATTAAGCAAATGTTTAAACAAATTTGATCTGGGTTAACGTGCGGGTATGTTTAATGCTTAAAAACCCGATTAAAAATTGTAACTTTTTCGGTCTCCAAGTATCTAAATTAAAGTTAAAAACTTGCTCTACAAAACCTTGAAGAGAATTTTGAGATCAGTGAAGAGCGATTTCAACCTTGTTTTTCAGGCCAAAATTGTGCGAATTTTTGGTTTTCGCAGTCTGTACATATTATATAACATCGAAAAACATAATATTAAAGTTTTCGCGATTACAATACTGCCCCGTCAGTAGGTGTGGGAAGTAAAAACAATGTTGAAAAAATGTTGTCGTTTTGAAAACGTTCGTTTGAAAAAACCGATTTCTACGAGTGATCTTAACTTCTCATAGTCTATAACCACGCATACGAAACTGGTTTCCTCTATATTGTTATTGATATCAAGATCATTTATATGGATATGTTAAAAAGATTGCCCAAAAAGGCTGTGGTTTTACGTATTGTTCGGTTTATAAGAATCATATTTATAATTCAAGGTAGAAAATGTATTCATCGATAGAATGATGTCAAGACAAGACATAGGCTACGGTTAATGCCTTACTGAGAGGATGCTTTATTCGCGCTGCCACTTGGGAATGACAGGAAGGTTAACATCAAAGTTGGCGGCCTTTATCTATGTAAGGCGTCCTTAGTGCCCCTAGTTGTTGATTAATTTGACGCTTGAGGTAGGAATTTTTCTATAGAGATAATGAAAAGGGTTGTGGTCTAGTACCAAAACGGAAGAGGGTAACATAACACACCGTACACTATTGGCAACGCGACATGTCTTTCAACACGGTGGCACAGCGTTTCTTGATGAAAGTGAAATAAAGAAGCCTTAAAGTTACCGAATATGTACGGTAATGAGGACTCCTCGAATGGGATTAAGACCGTACTGGAGTAAAATCTAGCCATACGGTGAGGCTCATGTGATAGCTCTTGATATCACGAAATCTTTCGATTAGCTGTGACATGCTGCACACTTCTGCACACTTTCATCGTATCACCCCCTAGAGAAGCTTTGCAGAAAGGAGGACTTTCTCTCCGTCGTAATTGACGGGTTATCCTCTTCATTCACAATCCCAACGCGGGTGTCCCCTGGGATCGGCATTGGCTTCAGTAACGTTTCTGTTACAGGAAGCAAGAGAGCCAAGCTGATCTCTGTCACGGAGCTGGAGAGAAGAAGATTAGTAGCAAGTTCCTCTATGGCGAGATATCTGGAAGTTACCAATGCTTGGGGTCGCAACAATCTGGTACAGTACAATGCTTTTAAAACTGTACTGTATCGAGACCAATAAGAAGCGCCCCAGCGTACATCTAGGGGCTGAATCCGGATCACCGAGGATTTGATTTGGCACGAACACATCTCGTCAATCGCAACAGCTGCTGGACAAAGTAGAGTTATTTTTTAGGGCTTTTCTCCACATATACTCCTCATTCTCTACAAGGCCAATATAAAGTCCCAGTCTCCAGTACTTCTCACATGATGCTTCTCTAACAGACGGCATCGGGCCCTTTCTCACCGACAAGAGGTCGACGATCTGGCTCTGTCCTACCGTTATGTCAGCGGGCTTCCTCAGGGAAACACCACTGGGTTGTATCACCACAGTATTTAATAATTCATTCTGGCTGCAACTTCAGATGCTCATTTAAAGCTGAAACCGCAAGTGGCCCGTACCAAGACCCACTTGAAAAATCTAATATACAACAAATGGAACAAATGGCAAGCATCATAATCTCAACTGCGAGAGCTGAAGTCGAATTTTGGACCATCGGAAATAGTAACCTCTAATAGAAGACACCCGTTTACGCCTTGGCCATCCACGGATTTCTCATCGCAGGTGAACAAGATGTGAGGTATGTTTTTTGTTCTTTTTTTTGTAAATAAAAATGCCCTTAGAAAGGATGGACAAGTGGCCCACGTGGGTCTAAGTGCTGTAATATTGGCTAATTTTATTTAATACGTAGTACATAATAGGTGTATATATTCTACATTGTAACTTCCTTATGATATCTCAACAGAGCACATATCTAAATAATTTGCTAATAAAGATAAAAATTGTCAATAATACAGTTTTTCGTAACTCAATCCGATGTATACAGTATTGTGTACCTGTCAGCAATTTAGAACCATACCATATGTGCGATAAGCAAAATCTACCTACTTACACATCGGCATGTGTTGTTAAGAGTATCATGAAAGATACGTTAATATGTATGGCATAACGGTTCTCGAAGAAAAATTAGCATTAGTGCGAATGACTGGGACACCATGAGACATTGTGCTCCGAGTGAATTTAAATACGCTTTCTCCGCCACTGAAGTGTGGGCAAAGTATTGTGATTGTGCAGAGCTTCATAAGTTAGGATCTTTGAAGCTTCCAATAAATGCACCATAATTTTTGTCAATGGGATATTTTCGTTTTTTATTTTGACAGACTATCAATATTTTCGGACAATAGTCTGACCTTTGTCAGAACAAGCGGAATTCCAAAATTAAAACAAAAAATATAGAGTATAATACAGATTACTTTGCAAAAGCATCCTTAAAATAAAATCACCATTCCCAGTATGCATTGAACCCAACCCTCACCGTATTTTTAGCGAGTCTAATTTTAACTAGCCCAAACACACACATGCTCTCTAAACACATTTCCGCATTGCTCCACAAAAAAAAACACATTGCATAAATGTTTAACAATCACTCGCATTTCCGTAAGCAAAATGTATGCTTTTCAAGGAATTATTGTAGAATATTAATACGTGGATATCGATCACTTCGTATTTGTATAAATAATTGAACTAAATATTTCCGGTAACCGACCAAATCCGATGACTTTTTTATCATATGATCTGCGTCTTTTAAATATCTATATATTCGGTAAACTGTAAGCCTGCAGATTCATAGAATGTTCAGATTCTTACTTCAGATTTCATCCTCATTTTTCTGAAGCATTTGATAAAAACTAGACTAGCGATTCACTGTTTTCAAGCTACTTGCATCTCAAGTCAAGTATCAGATATTATCAATCTGTTATTGGATCATCAAATACTTGAAAATTCAAGTAGTCTTGATATTACTTGATAATTTTTAGAATATCAAAATATACGAGTAAATACACAACGGAAATACTTTGCCAAAAATTTTAGAAAAAATAATAGAATCATAAAACTATAAACTCAAGTAGACGAAAGAAAAATGTTTCTTCATCAGCTGATAGAAGAAATGAAAAATTCTAAATTAGCTTTTTGTTCGCTAACGAGCTAAAACACATGACGGTCCTAACGGATTTATAATGGTGGTAAAACTATAAATAATGAAAGTGACAACTGGCCGAATTTTGAACCACACTCCTGTATCATGATACGAGTGATTATTTTCAAGTTGTGTTATTATACATCATGTATAATAGCTAAATATGGATGGACATTATATTTTGTTCTTCTATAAACATGTAAAAGTTGAGAGTTGTTTTTTGGAAGAACTGAAATTTAATTTGCTTTCATATTTATGGAAAACCTGCATATCTGTGTTGTGTTGCCGGTCCTGATTTTTTTCAAACCGAATTTTTACTTCAATCTACCGAATTTCAACGGCATTATCTACCCACTTTCGTATTTTTTGGTTTGGCAACGCTGTCTGCGTGCATCATTTGAGATGGCAGTAAAATTTTCCGATTTTCTACGTGATTATTTGCACAAATAAATATCACTGCAGGCCTTTAGTAGAACAAAATATATATAATTCAATCAAGTAGTTTGAAAATGCTCGACCTCAATTCAAGTACAACATTAAAACAATCAGTTAAGCCAAGCATCAAAGTTTCAAGAATTTTGTTGACAAATAGTCTATGAAAATACCAAGCTACTTGATGAATCCCTAAAGGAGATGTATCCCCAAAAAACGTACCTAATTAATATTCAAGTTACATTAGAATCATTAGATAAGGGATAAGGTAAAGTTGAGTAAATTTTAGCATTTATAAAATAGCTCGTCAATGCCTTATTTGAATTGAATGACAATTCAAATTAAAATTATTTTACATGTTCTTGTCAAAATGCACAACAAAAAACAACTTCGAAGCGTTACGTTAAGTTGCACCACGCCTCCACGCGGTTTGTAAATTGTACCCTTCTAAAAATCCTCAAATCAATGTTAATTAAACATATGTGTAAAACAAAATATCATCATGCATTAAACGTTTCATTTAGCCACATTACACATGGAGATCATAAGTTAGGAATTTAGTTGAGACAAAATATTATTGGAAAAAGCTTAAATATAAGAACCGCCTATTCAGAGCAAATTCGTAAAACATAAACATTATCACAACAAATATTTGTTTACTTTAAGCGTGAACATCACAAATATAGTCTAGAACGAAGCTCAGCTTTCAGGAAATTCCGGTACAATTTCACAAACAAATGCCGAACTTGTATGATTGATACAAATTGCTTTATTTCCTTTTGAAAGTGAGTTTGGGTTAAATTTTACCTGCCTAAAAATCTTGTTAAATGATCATTTAACTCCTGATTAATAATAATTACCAAAAATGCAGCCTCGAATACCAGAAAACGTTTATTTGGGTTGTAGATATAAAAGGTTATCGCTTTTGACGCCAACATGCATCAAACAGGATAATTAGATCAGAAATCATCAACAATATACCCGAATTTTCCTTATATTTTATATTTACTGAAAAGTAAAATAATATGAGCAAATCTTCAATTTTTCATTAACGCCCATGCAAATGATTATGTGGATTACCGGTACAATATAGCAGACTTTTTCCTATGTTATAATTAATTAGTTATAAATCATATACGAAAATAATCCTACCTGCATATTTGACGATCCATTGACACTCATCGCGGTTTTTGAACCACCATTCAAAACTGGAGTGCTCTGAAACAAAACACTGTCGTTTAAATGTCGTTAACAAACTGAAATTATTACATTTGATAAAATGGAAACGCATTTCCGGAATGATTCAGAACGGATCTATCCAAGACATGTTGTGTAGTGTAGGACAAATCAACGATCTTTACTTCTCACGCTCCGACTTTGACGAAATGTTCACAAGAGGTAATTTCTATGTCAGGAACGAATAAGCTTTGTATTTTTTGAAAATCGCTCCAGTGGCGGCGGCGTGAAGAGCAAAAAACGAAAAAACAAAAATCGCTCAAATTTCGGCTTTTAGCGTTTCACAGGCTCCTTCCGAAAATATTTTGTAGAGGTTAAAAATCAAGTATTGGGTTGTAGGAGGTGGGGGATGATATAACTCATTTTTTGGCGGCAGTATGTTTATACGCCTCCAACTCTGGTAATTGTACGCACCTATTGGCTGGCGCTTATGGCCTGGCTGACTAGTATGGTTCAGCACCGTTATCAAATGGATAAGGGCTATGGAGAATGAATCTGCTTGGCGACTTGATCCATTCAAGTTTTCTGTTATACATACATATTTGTAGCTAGCTCAGAATAACTAACTAGTGCCGAACATAGTCCTTTATGAACTACCGCCAGCGGTGCGTGAGAAGTGTAGTCAACCTACTTGACACTAAATGAATGTAGTTAGTACCTCCCGAACACAATTCCTTGTAATAAACCGCGGAAATTAATTAAATTAATTAGGTACCGCGATATTGAGACTATTATCATTAGTAATTAGCTCACCCACAGGAATCAGTTTGGATCTCTAAATATCTGCATGTAAGGTGCTGTCAACTGTAAAGCTATGGATTGGACGGATAGTACAGAAATGTTGGAATTTCTTCTAAAATTATTTTAAACTGACCTCAACCATGAACAAAATGGTTGATTGACGTATTTTACCTGAAGATAGCTAACCATATGCTGTGTTGCGGAGCCTAAAAAGGTATTTGAACCTAACACTTAACTCTTTTTAAAGTAGATTTCTAAAGCTACGGTCTCTAAGATGGCGCCAGATCTTCCAGATCCCTTTTTGGGTGCCAGAATACAGCACGTGATTGTCAATCTTCAGAAGTTTGGACTTCGATTAGAGATGGATTGTTAAAGGGTTTGATATTTTTCAAATAATGAAATTAATATAATTGTATCATAAAATTCTTCAGCTGCTATTAAAAAATATTTCCATCACGTACCACGGACAAGTCTGCAACTAGGTTCATAATACTATAATGATATGCAATTATGTGAATCAATTTTGAAATTCTTGTGTACAATTAACGTTATAGTATTTCAAAATAATCGTAAACGATGGACGATTTAAATATTATTCTGAATAACATAGCATATATTTATCCAATAATAAACGTAGATTATGATAACTGTAGCAAAAAATGTTTTGTTATACGTTATATGATTACATTATCACATTTTATGTTCGTCTTTATCAGAAGAGACTAAGTGCAAGCCGAGGTTGTTGAAAAGCCTCAAAAATAGTCAATTAAATATTGAGATCGGGAAATAAAAATACATTCCAAAAGTAGAATGTCAATATTTTGTCTTCAAAAAGTAGATACTGAACATATTCCTTTTTTGTACAATAACTTGCCATACACCCTTCAAATGTAAAATTTCGAGCAAAACCTGTAACATAAAAGTTATAGAATCTAGAGCAATTCTGCTCAACAAACGCTGTGGCCCGCGGGCCAGTTTTAAATAGTCTGTGCACGCAAGTTATAAAACTTCCGCCAAGTGGAAAAAGTTTAGCATGTTGGTACCTTGGGAGCCGATTTCCTTTACAAGGAGAAAAATTGTTCACTTTCGACTATGTTCAATTGATAAGCGAGTTCAAAGCAAAATTAAATCTATTTTCAATTTACTCAGCAACAAAAAATGTTGACCTTCTTCTTATACCAATCATTTGAAAAAGAAGCTCAATATTGCTACTGTCAATTGTTGTAAGTCCATAGTAAAATTAAAGCTTATTACAGTCGTTTGAGAGCAGACTTCAGCACCCTGACAGTGAAAAAAATGGCGTAGAGTAGGTTAACTTCGCACTTCCTGTAATTAGTTCATTAAGAATTATGTACGGCACAAGTTCGCCCCTCTGAGAAAAAAGTTAGCTATGAACATGTATAACAAGAAAATTAATCGGACCTAGCTAGCCAAACAGGCTACTACAATTAAAATGTACATATTTGGCATGCTTTTGTATACAATTTTGGAACTTTTTAGGATTTAGGTCACTGGGAAGATATGCTACCACTCGCTCTTCATGAAGTATTGAAGGCAGATACGCTTCAAAGTTATCTCTTGCCGATGGATAGACCTCCCCCTGCCCCTGAGACGATCGTCGGTCATCCAGTCGAGCAGCGGAGGCCAGCAGCACCGCGATCTATGTTGCGTGAAATATGTCTAATAGGAGGGTAGAATTACCGCGGCTGAAGGCGAACCAACGTCAAAAAATTGAGATACACCCTCCCTCCCCTAAAACTGCCCATCCCCTTCGACCCTCCGCCCCCCAATTTTTACCTCTAAAACGTTTCAAAAAATCATGAGGATCTTCTAAAACGTCAAAAAAACTAAGTTTGAACGATTTTTATTTTGTTACTTCTTTTGCACTTAGCTCCGCCACCACTGGAACGATTTTCAAAAGCCATAAAGCCTTTTCCTCATTGAGATAGTAGCAACATTATGTAAATTTAATTAAAATCAGAATGGTAGCGGACAGGTAGGCAGAGAGACAGACAGATAGACAGACATCAAAAAAAAAACGTAAGAGCTTATTTTAATTTTTTTTTGCAATTACACCTCCTCTTCACTGGCGTAGGAAGAAACAGAATATACATTTTTTATGAATCTTTTCATAATAAGTTTGAATGAAATAATTAATTATTCCGCCAATATTCAGTCGGAACTTACTAAACTATGAAATTATGATGCGTTACAGAAAAAGTGTCTTCAAAACCACAAAATTCTTCAGAAGACATTGGTACCAAAAGAAGACTTTCTGGCAATAACTGAATAAGCGTTACAGTTCTTGAATAGTTTCGTATCAACTTACATACGAGGGATGTCTTTTAAGTTTTGCATATAGAAACATAGTAGGCCGCGCGGATCGAACGTCAGTACTGAATCTTATCCTCACTCTTTAGTAAACTTAAATTCAAAGTTTCACAACAATACGTGCAGTGCTCTCACTACAGTGAATTTTTAAGTGTCACCAAGTCATTAGAAAAATGTAACACAACCGAGAACATTTTCGCGCCATAATTTATTAGAACTTTCAGAGACAATTATCGCAACAAGAATGCCTTGGTGAGTTACTGTCTGTTTTCGGCAACGAAGCGCCACATCAGTCGACAATTTCCCGTTGGTATGGAGAATTCAAACGTGGCCGGGTGAGTCTTAGCGACGATCCCAGGGATCTGCCAGCAAACGAGTGGAAAATTGGTTCGAGCGCATGCAGATGTGTATTAATATTCGTGAAGAATTCTTCGAAAAACAATAAAGTCATTTAAAACTACCTACCGTGTTGTTTTATTTCCATACGCAAAACTTAAAAGACATTCCTCGTATATATGTTTGTGCAAACATTTTCCAAACCCCAATAATGTAAAAAATAAATAGCGCACATCATTAATAAGCAACATATCTGTGACTGGCTGTCAACATCGGATTTGACGCCTAACAAAGTATTACAACAGAAACAATGTTAGAAATCGCATTGGTTGTTTGTATCACCTTACCAATCTTAGATTGGGATTTGAGATAGTTTTGTTCAATTTTGTTTCTTTATATTATATCACATAACACTAGTTAAACGACTGGATTCTTTATCGCTCAAGTTCTAAGAGTAAATAAAATAGTCATCATCAAAAAAATAAAATAGAATAGAACAGAAAAGAAATGGATTTATTCAGCTTTAAGCTACTTCAAACAATAATAACCGTTATTTACAAAAACTATGTTAACTTTACAAAGTGGTCATGACAACAAACCAAAATAGTCTCTCCGAAGTCCCTTTTGAAAATTTTAGCATTACTAGATGTTTTTACAATAATATGCAGATTGTTGTACATTTTTAGACCTTCAACAAACATTAACTTTTGTAAATCTTTGTATATGGAAATTTTCTTTTGATCTAATGTTGTAACCTTGCATTTTATATCTTTTTTTAGAAACTGTTCAAGATAAGGTGGAGCCTGGTTATTGATAATTTTATATAAAAGAATTAATTTTGCCTCTTGAATAATTTGGTGTTTGTTTAAAAAATTGTATGCCTTTAGCATATCCTGTATAGGGGTATACTTGCTACAATTTAACAAAATCCGCATACATTTATTTGATATTGATTTGCTTTTGCTCATTTGTGCATGTAATCAAAAGTGATGCACAATAAGTAAAATCAGGAAAAATTATTGAATTGTAGACTATCCTTCTGCACCAAGGACTTAGATTGTTACAAATTCTACGAAAATACCCGATCTCTTTGCCTAATTGTTAAAAAAGTTGAGCAGCCTTGATCTAGACTTCTAGAGTGACGTAATAAGTTGGCATAACGTCTTTAACCCAGGGTCAGGCCAAAATATTTAACGAACACGATTGCACAACTTAGCTGCGTTTTTCTCGAAAAATTTTTGTCGTACACTATTTCCATCATTATTTTGTGTGTGCTATTGCAAATAAGCATGACGTTATGTGCCCTGATGATGCACTGTAAGCAATCCGCAATGAAAGAAATCGTCAGGTTTAACATTTGACTTGTCAATTATTGTGAACATAAGGTGAAAAATCGAACTTAACCTTACTCAACATCGTTACTGATGTATACAAAGTCTGATACTTAGACTAGACCTGTATAAACACGATAAGAGGATACTTGAAGGTGTGAGAAAGGATTTTTTTCATCATGTTGGGTTTATAAAGAATTATCTCAAATTCTAAAAAGTGTGCGAAAACAATCCCTATATTAC